AGAGACAACTTGGTTGTTGCATTTGAAAAGGTGGTGCCTCTTTGCTTCATTTACGGGTTGGCAAACTTGGCACAGTGGCCTTATGTATCCAAGGTCAGGGATTCCGTAGATGCTGCAGTGTATTGTGAGTAGTAGTGTCGAGGACCACATATGCTTATTTACTTATTTATGTAAAGGTTATGATATAGGTTTAATTTGCAGCAGCAATTCTTAAGCATATAACCGGGTTATGATTAGGTGGTTTGTTTCGGTTGAATTGGGGCTCAATGCCAGGCTGACACAACACGTAGGCTTAATATATTTGACAACTCTGCTTTATTCACAAGGGAATGAATTCATATTGCTAAATTGATTTGGACTATCTTCTTATGGACAGTCAACAACTTAATGGTTTATGTATATCTAGAAGCAAAATACGTTTTGGTCTTTTGTTTCCAATTGGAAAATGAAACATTCTTGAATTGATCTTTGTTTTATTATTTCTTTATCAGTTGTATATTCTCATTGAGAATGTTGACTTTTTTTATATATTTTAAAAACATGCTAAGTCTACTGTTATGTTAAGTTGTAGGAGTGTCATCCGAAGATGCTGCAGGAGTATCCCCAAGGTTTACACCATAGTGGCCTTATGTATCCAACGTCAGGGATTCTCTTATTTCTTACCTCAGTCACTGATTGTCTTTTTTTATCAGAAAAATTCGCATATTGTGTTGTATAATTATGAAGAAAATTTTATATATATATTATTATGAAGAACAGAAATGCATGTCATTCTTTGAAAATGCATGCCAGACGTATGTTAACGTTTTTTAGTCCAACAGAAATGCATACCAATGTTGAAATTAATTGGAGTTTGGTATTTGTGCAAGTGAACACAAAACTCAAGTTTCAAAAGTTAAATAGTCAACACCTAAATACTAAACTCTAAATTTCAAATTACACTCAAATTTTTTGAAACTCGAATATAGTTTTTTAACTCGAATCATAAAATGTAAATTAGTGAAGTGAACGCACCCTAAAAATTTAAATTAGTAAAATAAATGAGACCTGTGATGAATTGAACGTAGATGATTTTTTTTAGGGCTTGTTCTTTTGAGTGAAAAACTCAAAAAAATGCAACTCGAGTTACAACTTTATTCGAGTTCATGTTCTTTTAAGTTTAAACTCGAGTTTAAACTCGAGTTCAAACTCGAGTTTAGGACTAAAACTCGGGTTCAAGTTTCCCCTTCAACTCGAGTTCAGAAACTCGAACTCAAATTAATGAACAATATTTTTTCTATTCTTAAAAATGCTATAACTTTTTCGTTTTAATTCTGATTGAGATGACTTTTTTCTATGCGTTGACAACGAAAAGACAAATAAAACTCAACCCATATACCCTATTAAAAATTTTCATCAACATTGAGTTTTTATTAAAATACTATCTAAATACAAATTCAAGTTTTAACTCACTCAAACATAAACTCAAAAAGATTCTTATCTCAAACCATAACTCAAATGTACACAACCAAACACAAACTCAAGTTACAAATTCAACTCAAGTTATAACTCAAATTCAACTCAAGAATTATACTCAAGTTAAACTCTAAAAGAACAAGCCCTTAAACTCTCCGCACCATCCATCCCATATAATCCCTATCGTTGTACCTAATGGTATTTCATACTCTTATCTTATAATTACTTTTTTTTTGAAGTTTTTTTTCTTAGGGTAGGTTTGGTTTGAGAATTTAAACCACCTTAATTTTGATTTAAATATTATTTTTTCTTATAAAAAATTTAAATTTAATATGTTATGTTATAATATTTTTTCTCACAAAATTTAGGGATTGTTCTTATATATTTTTGAGTTGAGTGATGATCTTTAGTTGAGTTTGAGTTATAATTTGAGTTGAAGTTGTAACTTGAGTTTGTGTTTGGATGTGCACATTTGAGTTATGATTTGAATTGAAAATCTATTTGAATTTGTGTTTGGGTGAGTCAAAACTTAAATTTGTATTTAGATAGTATTTTAATAAAAACTCAATGGTGATGAAAAATTTTAATAGGGTATATGAGTTGGGTTCTATTCATCTTTTCGTTGTGAATACATAGAAAAAAATCATCTCAATCAGAATTAAAACGAAAAAGTTATGACATTTTTAAGAATAAAAAAAATATTATTCATTTAACTTGAGTTCGAGTTTATGAACTCGAGTTGAAGGAAAAATTTAAACTCGAGTTTAGCCCCAAACTCGAGTTCAAACTTAGGAGTTGGTCTTTTGCATTTTTGAGTTAGAGTGCCTTGAGTGATGATTTTGAATTAAGTTTAAGTTATAACTTGAGTTGAAGTTGTAACTTGAGTTTGTGTTTGGATGTGCACATTTGAGTTATGATTTGAATTGAGAATCTTTTTGAGTTTGTGTTTGAGTGAGTCAAAACTTAAATTTGTATTTAGATAGTATTTTAATAAAAACTCAATGGTGATGAAAATTTTTAATAGGGTATATGGGTGGGGTTTTATTCATTTTTTCATTGTGAATGCATAGAAAAAAAAATCTCAATCAGAATTAAAACGAAAAAGTTATGGCATTTTTAAGAATATAAAAAACACTGTTCATTAACTTGAGTTTGAGTTTATGAACTCAAGTTAAAGGGGAAAAAACTCGAGTTTAGCCTCAAACTCGAGTTCAAACTCGAATTCAAATTCGAGTTCAAACTCAAATTTTACAAAATAATATAAACTTGAATAAAATTGTAACTCGAGTTCAAATTTTTTTTGAATTTTGTTGCAAAAGAACAACCCCTTAAATTTTAGAAAAGAACATAAACTTAAATAAAGTAGGGGTTGTTCTTTTGCAACAAAACTCAAAAAAAGTTTGAATTCAAGTTACAACTTTATTTAAGTTCATGTTATTTAAAATTTGAGTTTGAACTTGAGTTTGAATTCGAGTTTGAACTCGAGTTTGAATTCGAGTTTGAACTCGAGTTTGAGGCTAAATTCGAATTTAAGTTTCCCCTTCAACTCGAGTTTATAAACTCGAACTCAAGTTAATGAACAATGTTTTTTCTATTTTTAAAAATGTCATAACTTTTTCGTTTTAATTCTGATTGAGATGATTTTTTTTCTATGCATTCACAACGAAAAGACAAATAAAACCCCACCCATACACACTATTAAAATTTTTCATCACTATTGAGTTTTTATTAAAATACTATCTAAATACAAATTTAAGTTTTGACTCACTCAAATACAAACTCAAAAAGATTATCAATTCAAATCATAACTCAAATGTGCCATCAAAACACAAACTAAGTTACAACTTCAACTCAAGTTATAACTCAAACTCAACTCAAGATCATCACTCAAGTCACTCTAACTAAAAAATGCAAAAGAACAACCCGTAATAACTCGAGTTCAAACTTTTTCTAAATTTCATTAAACAATCCCTTAAATTTAAGTTCAAATCACATGTTTTGAACCCTCTAACAATGCAACGCCTCCTCATGACGCCACTAACCTCCCTCCACATGGCCGCGTGAATCACTCTCCCCCTATCGGTGAGAGCTTATCTGTCAACATCCCAAATCTCCTCATTTGTCTTGAAAGATGGAAATTTTGGACGGCTTTAAGTTCATGGTCGAATCACGAAGGAGAGAGCCTCTTTGTCCTTGAAAGACCATACCCAATCTCTTTTTGCATGAAAGATGGAAGGAAGTTTGGGATATAAACCATTCCAAAGTAATCGAGCCATAGGAATCTATACTCCAAAGGAAAAAGACGATACCCTATAATTGAATTTCCAATATATGTACCATACATTTTTTGGAAAATCTTTAAACAAAGATATTTTGATAGACAACTTTAAACTATTCAGCATTCATCAAGTTTTGTTAGGCTATATATTTAATTATCATATAATATGACGAGTTTTGTTAGGCTATATATTTAATTATCATTTAATACGAAGGTTAAAATAACATCTCCTTTTTATTTTCCTATACACTTCAAATATTTTTACAAGATCGAAAAATTGACAATATTTATGTCATTCTCACTCAGTGGTTCCCACGTCGAGGACAATAGTAAATAGAGCAATACCATTCAGTTCGAATAGAGCTATGATTTAATTTGAGATAAACTGGTGCAGCCCACCAGCGGGGCCATTTTTCTTGTAAAAATTTGATTTCAGCACAATACCAAAGTCATGAAAAGTGTTTATGAGATATCGCTAATGTTGAGCATTAAAGGTAATGAAACATGTTTGGGTGCATTACCGATACCTCACATCACAACTAAAAAAACCATTATGTCCCGTTCACTTTATCGATTCGAATTTAGAATTTGAGTTTTGTTACAGTAAAAAATTTTCAGAAACAGTCACATCTAACTTTTTTATTATAATAAAAAATTCTCACATAAAATCACATCTCAACTCGAATCAGCGAAGTGAACGGCCCATATTATTTTCAGTGGATCCACTTAGATTATTCTCCGAAGGACATGTCACTTTTTCAGCTTGCAAGGAAACGTTTTTTGTGCATGATTTGTCAACAATGAAAAGAGCACGGTCCAGTTGTAAAGCAGCAGAACCCAAAAATTTGTCTACAAAACTTGTGTCAGTCACGCAAGCACACAAACAACCTGCAAATCTGACCGCCAAAAAATCACCCAAGAGAAACTGTAGAGGAATCTTTGCAGTACTTCTAGCCAAAAACACAAGAAAGACCTTTCAAAGAGTAAAATGCCCCGGTAGAATTACCTGCTTCAAAATTATTAGTACTCTCTGCTTATTTAGAAGGCGTCATTTGCAGAATTGTTTTTGCTTGATTTGGAATTCACTAAAGAAGTCTAGAAAAAGCAAAGAGCAAGCCATACGCTTTTCAGTGATTTTTTTAGGGTGCATTAATAGTGGGGTCGTTTTCTTTTTTCCATTTTACATAACATAAAAATTGGATTATAAAATCCACACAAAAACAAGTTGTAGCCTGAAGGCACGGAACCTTCGGATAAAATAAATTCATGCGGAAAGTCGTTGATAACTTGATGCTTGACGAAAAGTCTATAAGGATACCAGCCTTTGCTAACTAGAAAACAAACTATTTTTTTTTAAATGCAAAACAAACAATCAGGGTAGAAAAAAAGAGGCTGGAAATGGCGCCATTAGCGGGGACTTATGTGGCTGACTACAGGTCGCTGTCTATAGATTTGCCTCCGCTTGATGTTTTCCCCACCACTTCAACAAGCTCTGTTTCGAATATTAGAGTTGCGCCACCTGCAATTTACAGAAAAGCACAGATTATCTCCTATACACTATTTCTAATGATAATATATGGTGTATCTTATATATAGAGATTAACAAGAAAAACAACCTCCGGATCCAAACGTTTTACATATGTCTATGATCTGTTCTTCTACATTTAACTTTCCATGGCCAAATTTGCACATGGTTCGAAAGCTATACTTTCAAGTATGCTCTGAAAGCACTTGAAGAGAATGTATACACACAAGCATGCCATATGAAAAGCATAAGGTTGTACGGTGCAACAAGGAGGATACAGTGGTACTCAGGTGCCATTCAGTGGCACAAAAGAATGTGCCATACACAATGGTGACATTCAGGGGCACAAAAGAATGTGTCACACACAATGGCGCCATCCAGGCTCTCATACACCAGAATGCAGCGGCACAAAGGAAACAATATGAGGGTGCCATATGAAAAACATGTAAGGTTGTAAGCTATGTGAAAGATAATAAAACCCCAACGGGCAATATGACAGATAACGAATTCAACTATTTTAAAAGATGAGGAAATAAAACTAAAATCATCACGTGCCTATAATTTGTAAGTTGAGCCTCATAAATCCAAGTCAATACTTCCAGCTACATTGCATTCACAACTCATATGAAGCCAAATGTCTTCTCAAAAGCGCTAATACCCAGGTACTCATAAGAGATCGAAACTATTGCATCATTACGAAATTAATTTACTGGTCACTACACACTTTTTACTCAATAAAAGAGATAGTACATGAATGAGGTGATCAAAAAAATAAATAACTATAAAACTACCTGGGATAGTAGGTGGAGAACCCTGTTCACCATAACCAAGTTTAGCCGGTATCTTCAACTTTCTCTTTTCACCGGCGCACATTCCCAGCAGCCCTTGGTCCCATCCTACAAAGAATTAAACTCGTGAAAACATCAATCCACCAACTTGGTGTTTGTAAGCCGTGTACACGCAAATTTCAGTGACAATAGTGAAAGTAAGCAAATTCTGTCACTGCGCCACACACCTTTGATTACTTGACCAGTCCCAAGTTCAAACTGAATTGGATCATTTCGGTCATAACTAGAATCAAAAACGGTTCCATCCGTGAGGGTACCCTGCAAGCAGATTCAAAGCGATAAGCAGTCAGTCATAGTTCTTTATGGTGGTGGGGAATCAGCTCATACGAAACATAACTAGAGTACTGATGGATAGAAACGGACTAGATGATTCTCAAGTATGTGCTCCCTTTCATATTTTTAGCTTTCCATACGAAAATCAGCACTCTCACGTGGCATAGCCACCTAATACAAACTATGGCATAGTTTAAATTGACAAGCAAAAGACAGACCACACTACAATTAGAAGCCAAAGCACGTCGATCTGAATGTGAGAATGGAGAAGCAATCAGCATTGCATAGACACATATTTGTCGCTTCCGTGAAGAAATTCATAATGAAAAATATCATATCTAGGTGAAAGAGCAACTCAACTTACCCGATAGTGTACTTTGACTCTATCACCTTTGTGAGCTTGAACATCACAAGATTCTGGCTTATACTGCGAGAAAAAGAGCAAAAGATGGTAAATTACCGATAAATGAAAATTAAAGGAAATGAGGGCCTAGAAGACCCTCTTACAGATTATACATATAGGTCACAAAACTGTATAGACAATAATAGATGATTCCTCAACAAAAGTGAAATTTAAAATACAATGTTACCAAAAGATATAAATACATTATCCAACAGTAAGATTACACGACATATTAAAAAAAATTTAGGAGAACTGCAGGTGCTCAACTGCATAAATGACAAATTAAGACCCGTTCATTTCACCGATTCAAGTTTAGAATCCGTTCATTTCACCGATTCGAGTTTAGAATTCGAGTTTTACTATAGTAAAAAACTCTCATCTAACTTTTTTGTTACAGTAAAAAACTCTCACATAAAGTCACATCTCGGACCCTAAAATGAAAAATTCCACAATGACGCAAAAGCAAATTCCCACAATCATAAACTTAAATTAAATCAAAGAAATAAAACAATAAAACGAAGCTGTATATCCGAATAGCACCATCAATGTACTGACGGAGTAACTAATACATATAAGAATTTAAGCATCCCTAAAGCAATTGCTCCATAGATGCAGACAATAAGAAATCTAACAAGCTCAAACTGTTTTCTCTTTCAAAATTCACCTCACGAAATTGCCAAAGAATGGAAATGGAAAAGAAATAGAGAACTTACCTTCACGCCAATCTGTAACTCCGTGACATCGCGCGTTTTCGCAGAAACTGGACAGGAAAATAAGAAAACAAATAACTCGTCAATCGAACTGAATAATCGAAATGTTTGTATGAATGTTCAGATCTCATAAGATCAATTGCGTAATTAACAAACTCATTAGAAAAAAAATACAGAAGATGCAGATAAAGAGATACCTAGAGTAGAAAGAAGCAAGAAGAAGAAAATAGGAGCGGCCATTGATGGAATGCTTGAGCTCATATTTTTCGCCAATCTCTGACTGACTCTCTCTGTGTGGGGTGGTTATATAGTGGGTATGAATAATAAGTGATAAATAATAAATAATTATCTCAGGCCCTGCTCTGATTGGCTAGTGCCACGCCAAAAGTTCAGTTTTCATCCTACGTGGAAATCTTTTTTTTTTTGAGGAAACGTGGCAATCATTTTATGCATCAAAACAAATTTTATTCTATTTTCATTGAGGAAAAAAAAATTGTAACAATTAGAACCCATTTCCGTACGTGTTAATCTCCGGTGAATCCGAACAAAGGACCAAGAATAGAACTCGGCATATAAATGGATTTCAGGATCTCTCGTTGAAATTTGATTAGAATTATTATTTTAAGAGAAAAAAAAAAAGGAAAGAGCCAATTGATTTGTGACATACATACCAATATAGTATTGAAATTGAAACTGCATTTTTGTTTGTAGGATTCTCTATCTCTCTCTCTTTATTTTTTTTTTTCTTTTGAAGACAGGAATTTCGGGATTTTTTTGTTCTCGTTTTTCAGTTTCATGATTTCATCAAATCATATCATGATGAATAAAAAGGAAGAAACAATTAACTCCACAGATCATTTACAAAGTGGAGCTTTCTCTAACTGTAATGGAATTGTCGCTTGATCTTGCCATTCCTTTTTGTTTTCTCATTTAACTGTGTCAGTTAAGACCACCATAAAATCTACCACTCAACCAACAAGGAGCTGATAAAAAACAAAAACAAAAGGAAATCTTGTATTCAATTTTGTTTGACACAGCATTAAACTTGGGAAGCACTGAAAAAAATATATAAAGACATCGCTGATTCGAGTTTAAAATTCGAGTTTTAATACAGTAAAAAACTCTTAAAAATAGTCACATTTAACTTTTTTACTACAATAAAAAACTCTTATATAAAGTCACAACTCAACTCGAATTAAAAACTCAATCAACGTACTAAACAGACCAAAAAGTTTTTCAACTTCCACATATCACAGGATCAACAACATGCTCTCTCACGGAGAAAAGCACATTTTGGAGGGTTATAAGAGCAAACTCTCAGCTCAAACTGAACCAGCAACCATCATTGTTTTTCCCTCCATCTTAACATGTTACTAGGAGGCAATTGCCATCGAATCGTAAGTTTATGAAGCTAAAGGACCATCGACTTTCTCTCGTTTTCGAAATGGGGAAATCTTCTCAAACAGAAAAGATCCGACCAAGCCAACTTCATTCTCCCTTGTGTCAAAGTTTAATCAAAACCAGCATTTTTGTAGCTCATTCTCCACAATCCAATAATAGGTCAAGACTCGAGTGCAGAGCTTATCTCAAATTATCAGCTTGCACTCACAGTTCTTTCCTCGCCCAACAAAGCAGCAATTCAACCTCCTCGCTACTAATAAAATGCAACTCATAGGTCAAGAGTAAACAGCATAACTTCAAATTATCACCTTGCGATTCACATCTCTTTGCTCTGCGTACTACATAGTCAAAACAAATTACATATCAGAAAATAATGGTGTGATAATATCCCAAATATAATCGATCTAACCAAAGCATCTATTTATTCATCCTCCTCGCGACTAATAAAATGCAACTCATTCAACAAAATCCTGTAAGTCTTCCCACCCATTAACCCATCTCTCCCTCTGAACTCCTCAAGCAATCTCAATGCCTCATCACCCTTCCCATCCCTACACAAACCTTCCAACAAAGTCTTATAAGTCAACAAATCAGGAGACATTTTACAATCCAACATGTCCCTCAAAACCTCAACGCCATCATCAAATCTCCTTTCCAATGCAAGACTACATATCAGAATCATAAACGTACTCCCACTCGGCACCAACCCTTTCCCCCTCATTTCCTTATACAACCCGAAACCGGGTCCCACCCTCCCCTTCTCACACATCCCCTTGGCCACATAGCCGTAGCTGTAAGCATTCGGCTCGCACCCGCACAGGCCCATCTCGCGAAACACCCGAACCGCCTCGTCGACCTCGCGACACTTAGCGTAAGCCTTGATGATCATGTTGAGCACGAACGTATCGGGAATCACGCCCGAAGCCTTCATCTGCTTCGTCAAAGACCGTACGGCGCGTAAATACACGTAACAGACATTCAACTTGTTGAACCTCTTGAGCAATGAATTGAACAGCAAAGTGTAGGTTTCGAGATTGGGTTTACAGTCGGGGGATTTTAGCATTTTCTTGTAGACGTCGAATGCGCGGTTGAAGAGGAGCTTTCGGCCGCAGCAGAACCGAATTACGGAATTGTAGAGAGGGACGCTCATCTCGCAGGCGCCGGCGATTACCTCCTCGACTAGGGTTTCGGTGTGACGGTAACGCCGGCCGTCGATGAGGATCTTGATCATGGTGAGGTAGGTATCGTGGGTGTGCTTGTAGCCTCGCTGCTGCGCCGTCCATCGGAAGATGTCCAGCGCGAGGTCCGGGTCCGATTGGACCTCCAAGGCGTCGCGGACTTGGGCCGGGGAGAATCCGGGCTTGAGGGTTTGGACCCACGTCTCGAACTGCTTCTCGATAGGGGTACGGGTTCGGGTTCGGATTGGGATCGGAGGATCGGGTTCTGGCGGCGGGGGAGAGGACGAGCATGGGCGGGAATTAAGCGGTTGAGGGAATGGAAATATGGTATTGAGTTTTGTTTGGGGAGAGGAGAGAGAGAGAAGTGGAGGAGAGGGAAATTTTGGGGATCTGAGAGCAGCGGTGAGAATGCGGCGTACGGACACCGGCATTGTTGGAGAAGAAGAGAGCGAGAGACCAGTGTGAAGTGTGAACAACCGGCGATGGAGTGGAAAGGAAGGAGGAAGAGGAAGTGCAATACAAGAGAAATGGGCCGAGTCGAATGGCTCTGTTTAGGGCCCACACGAAAGAGCAACTAGCCCGTTCTAGTAGGGCCTGATGGGCCCGTTACATATAGCCCGTTATATGTCAAACTCACCCATAGAGAGAGTATAGTAAATAGCATATTTTTTAGGGAGAAAGAGGAAAGATGAAATAAAATTAATATGTCAATAGTTTACCTAAGTTAATAAATAGGTTAAATTACTATTTTTATCCATAACTTGTCTGGTTATGAATCATAACTTGACAAGTTATTGTCTATAATTGTCCATAACTTATCTGGCTATGAACCATAACTTGACAAGTTTGTCCATAATTTATCTGGTTATGAACTATAACTTAACAAGTTATGGCCTATTAATTTCTATAACTAAAAATTTGCCTATATACTTTTTTAAGCTTTTCATATTAGCCTATTTTCTACTATTTTCCTAATTTTTTAACATTAAAATTAAATAAAATTTTAAAGTAAATTGTAATTTACAGTGTAAATTCATTTACAATTAGTAAAAATATTTTTGTTACTTAAATAAAGATTTTTTATGATGTAATTATTTTTTACCAGTTAAAAATGAAACATTTACACGTAATTTACTTCAAACAAATTGAATATACTATTTATTTAATTTAATTTCAAAATTTTGCTATTTATGACCATTTCTAAGACTGTAAAAATAGCATCATAACGTATTATAAAATTATAACAATTCACTAAATTAAAGTGACATGATCTGAAGACACAAAAAGAAACACGAATAAGGGGACATAAGAGCTCAGTCTTTTTAGATTTTACAATCACAACCTTTTTTTATTTTAGAGAATTTCGTAGAAAATTTATTATGTTTTGAATTGTGGAAATCTGATAATACGTACCGTAAAGATGTAATCATATGCAGCACCTTTTAAATTTAAAATATTGTACTTGATTGGTTTGACCAAGTAAAGTTGAAAACCATAATTAATCAAATCAGATAAATTTTACTCGAGCCTAAAAACATTTTTTAATTTTTAAAAGTGAATACACTCTAAAATTATATAATTAGATTTGAGATATGGATTCTTTATGGTTCAAACTTATAATTTTAATTTTGGTTCCCTCAAACCAAAAAAAAAAAAAAACTTATAATTTTAATTTTATTATAATATTTTTTTCTTATACAAAATTTAAATGTTAAAAGTTTTCAATCATAATTTAAATCATCTACTAAACGGATTGCTTAATCGTTTTATGAACACGGTTCTTGTTTTCTGATTAGTGAGGATTGCCAATAACTCTGCAATTAGCTGTGATGTTTAAAGATCGACGCTTGTGGTACTCTAACATGGGGGCAGCCCACAAACTACGACGTGACCATACGGCAAGAAAGTAGTTTTGGGGACTGTGCTGTTGTGCATTGTTCTTTGGGGACAAACTGATATTTTGACTTCGAATTTCGACAAAATGCTCAAGTAGTCGAGTAGATAATTTTAATTTGGTCTTTACGTTTTTAAAGCAACGGAATATAGGTGCGTTTGGAATTAGTTTCAAAACGTTTTTATTTTTTACATGAAAATAAAAATGAAAACGTTTTTATTTTCATTTTCGAATCATTTTTGAAAATACGTTTGGTAGTTTTATTCTGAAATTATTTTCAGTTTTAAAAAAACTGAAATTGTGTTTGATAGTTTAATTTCTGAAAACATGTAATAATATTTAAAATAAATAATAATATTAAATAGATTAAATATATATTATTATTAAATATATTAAATAATAATATATTAAATAAATATTATTATTAAATATATTAAATAAGTATATTAATATAACATTATATATATATATATATGTTAG